TTTCTATTCAGACAAGCTTTTCTAACCAAAACAACTGTGATCCTAATATAGGTACTTTAAAAGGAATTCTTTTTTAACTTACAAGCCAAAAGATAGAAACATAAATCTTCCCCAAGCTAAACTACTTGTAAATGCTATTATAAAATGAGCTGAAAACAACAAAAAGTGGAAAGAACTGGGACCTACAATAATACAAAGATCAAATCATCTTGAGAATCTAGAACAGGTAAACAAGTTGTCTTTGTAGACAGATCATAGGTGTAGATTTGCTAAAGCTAAAATCTCAGAATGCAAGTCCGTTTGAAGTTTGAATGATACCAACTAACCTTATTACATAAACTCCAGAAATACTAAAATCCTTGACTTCTGCTGAGTACCTAAGGTCCAATTTTAACAGTATCTAGTTTCTACCTCGGAAAAAATTAAATACCTCACTCAGCTGTATTAGGAATAAACAAACACGTAACTTTTTAACCCAAATCATGCTACTAAGCCTCCATTCAGAAAGAAGAGCTTCCCAAAGACAGAAGTGGTCCTAAATGGAGCAGGACATAAGCTTTCACAACACCTTAATAGTTTTTTCAAGCCATATTTCTCAAAATAATTACACCTCGTAGGTATTCAGTAAATATTTGTGTTTATGAAGTTGATGGTGTTGTCTTCAGCATAATACATTACTTGAAAGTTCATAAAACAAAAGCCCTTGTTCTATTCAAAGTGTATAAATTTTGTAACAAAGTGAGAAATTAAAAAAAACAATAACACTCCATTATATTAATCATTACAGACTTTAAGTTAAAAATAACATATATCAAGCCTTCTAATTCGACTATATAAAGATGTAATTCAAGAAAATAATATGCTAGCAAATATATTAGTTGACAATAAATACCTGCACATTCGGCAGTGTTTCCCAGCACTAACAGTAGCTTTGAGTCACTTAACTTTTCTAAGTCTCTTTCATCATCTGTAAAATAGACAAAGGACCTACATCATGCAGTTGTGAGCAAAGCAAACTTTAAAGTGCTACAGGAATTACTATACAGTAGTTACTATATTAAACAAATAGTACTATTATATAACACTAAATCAACTTATACTTGTCTGAAATCTTCCTGAACTCCAACAGTTAAAACAAAAGGTTATCTTATTTTCTAGGAACAAATTTTAAACAGCACCAATTTCCTAAACCAAAATACTCCATAGTTCAAAAGTAAACACAAAGGCACTAAGAGGACTAAGTGCCTAAAATTAATCTTTTAAAATATTTCGAAAATGTTCCTCAAAGAAAGTCACATGACAAAAAATAAGATACACAGAAACAGAGTATACTAAAAAAAGTCTCCACCCGAGACTACATACAGCTAACATAAAATGTTTTATCAGCAGGTTAACACCTTAGTGAAAAGAATAAATCACTAATGCACAGAACAAAGAATAATTTACTGACTTCATTTTGAAGTAGGATGTAAAATACTAACTTTTGTCACTATGCCTTTTTTGTGAACTCAAACAAGTTACTCCACTTCTCTGCCTGGGTTTCTACAGCAATGACATTAAGATGATTCAGTCCCACTCAACTAACTTGAAATGACATGAAGGGTAACTAACAAATTAACTGTGAAATGCTTTTCATTTGCCTATTGGAACATTGAAAGAATGTATTAAGGCAGTATGCTGAGTTAATACAGGGTCTCCCCAAAGTTTAAGATTTTGGATATAAAGTTAAAGAATGTTTAAAAAAAAGTGGAGGGAAGAGATAATAAAAATTAAGTATTCTAAAGTTAATGAAAATTATTTCCCGTAGGTACTATTACAGACCTGAAAATGAGAATAATTCAAAATCCTCGTTAAGTTTTCCTATTGTGTTAGCTAAGTCCTAAATGACAACCAAGGAAATTATTTTCGACGAACTTTCTTCAAGGGCATTCATGCCAAGGGGCACTGAGCTTTCGACTTAACCTCTAGACACAGAAGTACTAACAAATGCTGTAAAGCTGCATGCTCCAACAAAGAATCATGATAGCAATCAATGCCGTTTTATTTGCCTTCTTCCAGCTACTGTTGAAAATAACATTTGCACACCTGGACCAGCTGGTGAAGAAAGATGTTCTACACCAAAAACTGGGGACACAACCCCCTTTCTGGTAAAAGCACACTAGCCAGTGGGCAGTAACTGGCCTTTCAGACCACTGGAAGAAGCTGTGGTCCAGCGGACTTTGGGAGCCGGACGGGGAGGGGAAGGGGACGGAGACGAAGTTTCGGAATCGGACAATGAAGGCGAGGCCAGGAAGCAGGTCCAGGTTGGCCCTCAAAAGAGGCACGCGTGTGAGTGGGTGTGTGTGTCCACTCGAGGGTGGGGGATGCAGATATGTCAAGTTTCAGAAAGGTGGGAGGGTCCAGGCGGTGCTCGCTTCTCGGGCGCCTGCAAGGCGGCAGACCCTGGGGGTGACGGGAGCCTCGGGGAGACGTCTCGGGGCTGGAGCGGCTAAGGAGAGCGGAGACGTGGCTCCCGGGAGCCACGCGGGGGGGTGGGGCCCGGGACGGCCGCGAAAGCCCCAGTTCCTGGGGAGGATCCCTCCAGGGGCAGGGTCCGCCCGGAAAAGTCCGGGGGCCGGAGACCCGCAGCCAGCCGCCCCGCTGGCGCCACCACAGCGGGCGCGGGGCGCAGAGCCCCCTGACCCCCCGAAAGAGCCGCTGCCGGGCTGCCTCTCCGGCTCCGGCCTGCTCCTCCTCCTTCCCCACCCCCCACGGCCTGGGCTCCGGGCTCGGCCCTCCGGCTTGACAGGGGGCGTCCGGCCGAGCGCTCTCCGCCATCGCGGGGAGCGGGAGGCAGCGGCTCCGGGCGCCGCGAAGGACACTCACCGGCCCGAAACCTCGAGTAAAACCGGCAGCTCCGGGGGCGGCGGCAGCTGTGGCAGCAGGAACCGAACATCCAAAATGGCGGCTCCCTCGGCCTCAGCACCGCGACAGCCCGCGGAGGGATCCGGGCCAGGGAGCGGGGCTTTCCCCGGCTTTGCCCGCTCCCGCCGCAGCCGGGACAACCCCAATGCCCCCCGCGCCTGTGCGCAGGGCCCCGGGAGGCAGCCTTCGGCTCCCCCGCCGCCTCTCTAGCGTCCCGGAACTCCGCTCCCTCCCAGGACTATTTGCCACGGTGGAAGTGACTGCATCTGGACGGGAGGCGCAAAACGAAGCACGACTCGGGGCTGTCACTGATGACGAGAGGCGCCGCTGCCGAGTCACCGCTGCGGTGAGCCCCGGCAAGAAGCGTCCGGGCGGGCCCGGCGCTGACAGATATTCGTTCCGGGGGGGGGTGGGAGCGGGGGCGTGGCGAAGAGGGGAGGGGCGGGGCTTACTCTGGAAGACGAGGAGACAAGAGGAGGGCAGGCCGAAAGGGGGCGGGGAAAAGCTGCTCTAACCCGGGCGGGGGGGGAGGGAGGAGGGCAGAAGAGGAGTCCTGGGTTCACCAGACCGGCCCCTGGTTAGGCATTTAGTTTTTCCTTTCAGTTTGACCTTAAGGAGTGCTCTGCTGACCTTTAGGTTTGGAATTGAATGGTTTTCGGCCATCCTGGCCAAGAATGAGCCAAAGTCTCCAGTCTAAGAAACAGACGTTGACCGGTTTCGTAAATGATTAGACAGACAGGCTGGTCAGCGTTTGCTGCTTAAATGTAAAAAGGGTCAAAGTGTCTTAGCCCACTGAGTTGGAGGAAGGTGTCCTAGCCGGGCTAGGAGGAAAGCCTACCCTTGCCAGTAGCCCTTAGCATTAAAAGACTCTGGAAGGTGAACATGGAGCATGGCTGTAGGATAAGAGACGCAAATTCAAGCAGCTCAGTGAATGTCAGTCACCCAGCTAACAAGCATTTAGGAAGCGCCTACTGGGTGCCAGGCACAGTGCTACGAGCTGGGGACACAAACAAAGGCAAAAGACAGCCCCTGCCCTCAAGAAGCGCATGTTCTAATAGAGGAGGCAACGTTCGAACAGCTATGTACAAACAATAAATAGATGATAAATTGGAGATAATCAACAGAAGGAAGGCACTGGTGTTTAAGGGTTTTGACGTAAAACACTAGGTTGAAAAACAAGGGTCTAATTAAATGAAATGGACTGTATTCAAAAGATTTCCGAAACCCCTCACAAACGTTTTGTAGTCTGAATATATTCCCCTGTACCTGGCCATACTAGGGCTTAATAAATGTTTGTGGAAGTAAATTGAATTCATTATTTCCACAAACATTGGCTTGTTGAGACATGAAATATTTGTAAATCGCTTTGCAAACCTTAAAACGCTAAATAAATTGATAACCATTATTATTATTAAACCACCTACTACTGTATATGAGGAATATTTTCAGCCCACTTTCTAATTTTGTCCTTTGACTAGTGGGCATGTCCCGAGACTGGAAGAAGAATGAAAAGCTGGTCAACAGATCTCCTAAAGCTAGCTCCAAAAGGAGCAATTAGGTCATTTCCAGTACTGAGCTATATAGAGGTTCTTCCAAGTTTTGCTTAGAGGCCTGAATTTAAATTTAAAACACTTAATGGTCAATAGATTTAATTAAGCCCCACTCAAAGAAGGCACTGTCTTTCCCTAAAAACCCACTCCTTTTCCTAACTTTACTATTTCTGCTAGTTTCCTTGACTTCCTTCAAGACTCAATTCAAATCTGCCCTTCTGCAGGAAGTATTTCCTAGTCTCCATTCTCCAACTCCCACTCCAGTCCCTTCCCTCGGAAATTACCTTCTGTTTACAGTGTCTATATCTTTTATATACTTAGTTATTGTGAATGGATTGAGAACAAGGACCATATTTTTGCCTCTCTTTGTATCCTCAGAGCCTAGGGACAGTTCCTGGCACAGAGTAAGCTCTTAATAAATGCTTGTTTTCTGAATGAAAAAAATTTTCTAATCACCCAGTTCCCAACCTAAGAGTTATCTGTAATACCTCCTCCCTTCCACCACCCGACCACAGCCAGTCATTTATCAAATCTTATCAATCTTACCTCCACAAAATCTTTGACGCCCATTCTCATTTTTCAGTCACACCGCTATGAACAAGTCTTCATTACCTCTCCAAAGGACTATTCCTCTAACCTCCTAACTAACCTTCCTTCCCACCCCTCCCCACCTTTCCCCTCCCCTCTCCTCACTTCTCCCAATCCTCCCCTACATTGCGGCCAAATAGATATTCCCAAAGCATTCCCCCTCCTCCAGGAATTTAAGCACCGCCTATTGCCTCTAGGATAGGTAAAATGCATACTCCTCCTTTATTTGGTTTTTAAACCCTTCACACTGTGTCTCCAGCCCACCTTTCCAAGTAATTGATTGCACGTCACTGTTCTTCATGCTCTGCATACACTCCAACCAAACTGGAGTACTTGCTGCTCTCTAAAGGTTACATTCCATCTCCTGCCTTAGTGAGAACTTCTGCACAGGCCTGGAATGTATTCCCTCATCATCTCTACCTCTTAGAATCCCTGGCTCCCCTGAAGGTCAGCTCCATCGCCACCTCCTGTACCAGGCTTTCCCCCCATTGTTCCAGTTTCTCGTGCCCTCCCTCTCCCCTCCGCATACCACCAACCCCACCCGAAAATGACTTGGCATTTACTTTGCAAATATTTTTTATTGACTCTGACTTGAAAAGCCCTTCACATTCTGACTAGGGTCTATCTCTTCTAGTTCATTACCCTCCTTCCAGTACTCCAAACTGGCATCCTGCTCTCTCCAGTTCCCTTGAGATCCAATCCCTGTCCCTCACACAGGGCACCTTTGCCTAGGCTGTCTTCCATGCCTGAAAGTTACTCCGTCCTCACCTCTTCCTCAGAGCAGCCCGAGCTTCCTTCAAAGCTCAAGTGCTATGTGCCAGAGAAGCCAATTTTCAATCCTCCCTCCCCTCCCTCCCCCTGGAAATAATTTCGCATATTTTAAATTTAATTTTTGTGTGTATTTAACCTGTGTATATGTTTATATGAAGTTATTTGCACACATTGTCTCCCCCATTAGAACATGAGAAGGGGCTTGCCTTTCTTTGGAGCCCCAGCACTTTGGCACATCACCTGGCACATAGTTGGCATTTAATAATTGCTTATTGATTGATTGATTGATTGATTGATCAGAATACATGTAAGCTCCTTGAGGCAGATCATGGCTCATTTTGAGCCTGAGCACCTAGCACTGAGTCTGGCATATAGTAGGCACTTAATAAGTTCTTATTGAATTAAATTGCTGAGCCCAAAACTAAAGATGTTGTTTTATTTGGGGGTTTTTCTCCCAAAAGAAGACTTGGGGAGATTGTGTCAAATGGATAAAGGATGACTGCTTTAACAGTTGTGTTTGTTATTATTTATAATGTATATGCTACATAATGTGTAATAACTGATGAGTTCAGGGTACACCCTAAGAACGTTGGGGTGCCACCTGAAGTGATGAGGAATAGAAGTTCAGGTCTTATTGTCCTGAAAGAATTCACTCTCCGGTTCAGTCTCCAAGTTAAAGAATGCCATTTATCGTGGTGATGCACCCAAGCAAGCCTGCGTCCCCTGAGGCAGAGCCCCAGTGGGCTCTACTCCAGATAGGAGGCAGAGCATAGGCTGCAGGCCCTACTTCCTTAAGAGGGCAGAGTGGCCCTGCTTCCTGTAGGCAAAGGCCCTTATTGGGGTTAGGTGCCTGGTTTAAATACAATTTTATGGAATGGGGGAAAGGGGACACGAAAAGGGGAGGAGCAAGCTCAGCTCCAAAATGCCTGGGATAGCAGGTAGTCAGGAGGTGTCTTTATCACACAGATAAGCAAAGAGAATAGGAAAGAGGAGGGGAAGAATTGTTCTGGAATTAGGGGTGCTGTGTGAAAAGCACACTTGTAAGTCCACCATGGGGAGCTTCAATGCATAGTCTTCTTTGATCACTTTTCTGGTTGGTCACATCCTGCATCTTGTCTCAAATATCACATCCTGCATGCTGCTTGCTTCATTTGTCTCAAGCACTCCTTTCTACCTCAACAATAACTATATGTTATTATTAATAAATTTTATATTTCAGCTTAACAGACAGAAAAACAACCGAAGAGTCTTAGCCTATGTAAGACTGTCTTCTAGTTTTTGTTATGTTATTTTGTTATGTCATTAATTATTTTTGGTTTTTTGGACCTTTTTGGAGCTGTTTCCTCTTCTATCAAACAGAGCCCTGCCTACCTCACTTACCTGTAAAGATCAAACAATTTTAAAAACACATTTATATAACACCTAAAGGAAAAATTGGTGGGAAAACTCAGGGGAAAAAAAGGTCTATGCAAATACAAGGCATTATGATGTTTTTTTTTAAATTGTGACCCTTCAAAAAATTGAATCAGCTAAAATATAATCCAAAACCTGAAAGGAGAAAAAAGATGAAACTCAGTTAAGTCTTCTCAAAGGAGCCAAGTAGAAAAGGAAATTTTTAGGAAGCTGCACCCTCCCTTTCTTTTGTATATTAACTACTAGGTGGCCTCAGAGCAAAGTGAGAGCAGGTGCTACTTCCCTAGAGTAAGTGCTTAAGACTTAGAGAAAAGAGCAAAGGTACAAAATTCCACACGAAGTAGCAGTTTATGGTAGATGGGACACACCGAATGGTTCTGGGTTTGGGCCTATTGCTGGTCCTTCATACCTGTCAGATGAGAAGGTTGGACTCTGTGACCTCTGAGGGTCTTTGCAGTTTTCAATCTAACATCCCTCATTTTTTATGGGAGGAAATCAGGGCCCGAAAAAGAAGTGAGCTGTCCAATGTCACTCCGGGAAGAGGGGCATCGATCAAGAATTCTTACTACCATCATTTGGCAAATGGCTGAACAAGTTGTGGCATGTGAATGTAATGGAATGCTATTGTTCCATAAGAAATGATGAGCAGGCAGACTTCAGAAAATCCTAGAAAGACTGGAATGAACTGACGCTGAGCAAAGTGAGCAGAACCAGCAGAACACTGTACACAGTAACTGGGCAACATTGTGCAATGACCAACTTTGATAGATTTAGCTCTTCTCAGCAATGCAATGATCTAAGTAAGACATCTCCGCAAGACTCGTGATGGGAAATGTTATCCACGTCCAGAGGAAGAACTCTAGAGTCTGAATGCAGACTGAAGCATGCTATTTTCTCTTTTTATTTTTTCTTTCTTGTTCTGATTCTTCTTTCACAACATGACTAATGTGAAAATATGTTTAATATGATTGTACATGGATAGCCCATATCAGATTGCATGCTACCTTGGGGAGAGGTGGCAAAGGAGGGGGAAATTTTTGGAATTCAAAATCTTGTAAAAACGAATGTTGAAGACTAAAAATAAATAATTTTTTAAAAAATTCTTACTACCACACTATCTTGCCTCTGAAATTTAAGACATGCATACATACAAGCAATTAAATAATCATCCATTGTGTTTAGTGCCAATCCACTGGGAACCAGAACAATAAGAAAAGGCTTCATGGAATAGGTGGACTTTTATTTAATTGTTAATTTCAGCACTAAAGGGTGATGCACTCACATGAGATAAGGGATGACAGTTGGGTTCTTGAATGACTCGATTAATATCTGCCACTGAAGCTATATTATTCTTATGACAGATGGGGAAAGGCTCTCCCCATAGAAATCCAGTCAGTATCTTTCCCAGGGAATTCTCCCCTTATTAGACAGCTTGTCAGGGAGCTCACCTGAGGAAAGAGAAGCCCAGTGAGAAGGATGGGGATCTGAGCCCTATCCACGGTTCACCTTGAGGAGAAAAGGCAGAAGGTTCCGCTCACTTATTTTGTTATAATTTGAGTCTCCCAAATCTATAAATAAATCTATAATTCGAGAAAATTGTTTCCTCTACATTGTTTACATAACGTACATAGAATAAGGATTTTTACAATTCTTTTATAGCAGAACCATGAATCCTAACTTACCACAGCCTGGTAGAAAGGGTTTTAGCATTTTAATCCTGAATTCTGAAGAGACCAGTACCTCCATGGAAACTAAAATCCTAACAATTCTCTTAAAAGCATTATTGAAGAGTCTCCTAAAATATAACTTTGATGTGGAGATAAAAGACCTTCTGGTCTGAGGTTCTTCCAAAGTCCTTCCCAGAGTCAGGGAGGTTTCAAAAGGACAGCCAGAGTGCCATTTAAGACACTTTACAATGCATGTCAATAATTTTAAAAGAAAAGTCCTTTGGGGAAATAACAGACATCCTTGGTGCTTTGACATTTGTTTGTTATGTTAATACCTTCTATGTATAACCAGTTAAATTATGAAAGACAAGGAGAACCTGGAATGAAAAGCAGCTTGGCCATGGTAGAGAGAATATGGACTTCTTGTGAAGAAAACCTGGATTCAAATCCTGCTTCTGACATACTGGCTCTGTGACTCTAGGCGAAGAATTTAACCTCTCAGTGCCACAGGCAACTGTCAAAGATGGTGAAAATTCCTCACCAGAAGCTTCCTATAGCAATGATATCACAGGTCCAGTTTAGAAGGGAGGGAGGGAGGGAGAGACAGAGAGACAGAGACAGAGAGAGAGAGAGAGAGAGAGAGAGAGAAGTCATTTCTCCATTACAGAAGAATAAAACTGAGATTCAGAATATGAGAGACAGTCAGAATCAGTATAAGACTTCTGAATCACTCTGTTTTTCAATTAAATAATCAGATCACCTTTCCTCTGTCTCACAGAATTCAGCTTGAAGAAAAATTTTAATAACCACTGAACTGAACTACTAATGCAGTTGTAATTAAGAAGAAGTTTTACTGGCAAAAGTTGGGCCTTTTCAGTTCCATTTTGTTTCCATTTGTCTATTATCTTATGTCTCACTAGAGAACCACCCTAGAAAAAACTTTTGAAACCAAACCAGTTTTTAAAATAAATTAATGGGAACCATTTTGGATATAAATATGAATGTAATCATTTTGCCCACATAAAGTAGGAAATAAGACTATGCAGGGCAAAACATTACATTAATTTTTAAAAATTTGGTGGTGTTGTTTCTTGAGTCTTCCCTTATTCCATTCTCGTTAGATTTCTAAAAGTTAGCTAACTGAAGTAACGAAACCTGTAGAGATTAAGATCAATCAAATAAGAAAACTGTGCCAG